AACATAGATCCAAGGTTTATAGGGTTGCATGTACACCATATGAGTGTTAGAATGCTCAAAACCCAACAACTACTCCACTCATTAGCCTCGGAAAGTCGACCTTCTTGTGGCCTAACTGATTGAAGTGAAAAAACATCGGTACCGATCCTCAAGGGCAATCCCTAATGACATGACTCATCTACCCGCAACTGAAACACCCCCTTCCCGTCTCCCGAAAGCTCCCTTCATGTGTCCTCCCACACTTGGCACAATGGCACTGTCCCTGATGGCCTCCTACTTTGGAATCATGAGTCATGCGCCTCTTCGCCTACCCCGCTGCTGTCATAATCTGCTCCGACTTCCTCTTCCCGAGGTGCTTCAAATCAATCTCCCACTCTCGGGCTCTAGCTATCAGGTCCTCTAAAGTCCGACAAGCTGAAAAGCTAACAAAGTCCCTGATATCGTCTCGTAGCATGTCATGGTTCATTGTCTTCTTCATCTCCTCATTTCCAGCGTACTGCGGAACCAATAAGGCTCTCTCCCTAAATTTAGCGGTGATCCCTGCCACATTCTCAATCGTCTGGAGAAGATCCTGAAACTCCCTCGTCAACTACTGCACCAAGATAGCTGGTGCAAACTCCACCTAAACTGGGTCACAAACTCATCCCAAGTCATTGTCTCAATGGCCTCGCCTCCCAAAGCGGAATCCACCTCCTCCCACGAGTCACGAGCTATGTCTTTTAGAAGACAGTATGATAATCTAAGCTTCGATCCCTCGAGGCAGAATCTCGTCCGGAAAGCATTCGCCATGTCCGCTAACCAACTCCTGCTAGTAATGGGGTCCTTCTCCCCAAAGAAATTGGGAGCTCCATAAACACGGAACTCGCAGAAGGGAAGAGTGCGAGCTCCCACAATAGCCATAATCTCAGTGCGAAACATGCCCAGACGCTCATCCAAATTCTCCATGATCCCCTCCTTAACTGAACTGAAGATCACAAGAGTCTGTGCCAAAATACCGCAAGTGATCTCTGAAGAGATGAACTCCCACATCTGCTCATCAATCGGATCAACACTAGTACTTGAGCCCGAACCTCCTCCACTTGTGCTCATCACCATTCTGAAAAGCAATCATACAAACGATCAGCACATACCCAAAGTATTCCAATTCCTACATGCTTCCTACATTCTTCGTGAGTCTCCTCGATTCGAGTATGGATCCTGTTAGACCTGTCAATGGGGCGGGTTTTGACCCTGATTCGCTCCAAACCTATAAGAATTTTTCGGGTTTGGGTTTTATTTTTTGATTCGATTACCCATTTACAATCCATACTCATTTACCCTTTTACTATATGGGTAGGGTATGGATCATTGCCAATTCGCTCCACTTATAACCCGCCTAATTTAATATAAAGGTGTGTGTGTGTGTGTGTATATATATATATATATATATATATATATATATATATATCATATCAGTCATAGTCACATAATCATATACATCTAACACATACAATTAGTGAGCCGGAATTGGTGCCTTCGACCTACTAGTGTGGTAAGAAGACTCACGTTGATCCGAAGACAAACCAATCTCTCCCTCGAGCTGTTAAAACAAGAAACCCCCACACTAATCATAAATAAATAAACCCCAATCATTAAATAAATCATAACCCATAAAAAATATTAAAAATCGATATATCAGATTTGCTTTGGAAATAGTTGTTTTTAAGAGCTAAGTGAGATCTAACTATCAAAGTTCAATAAACCGGTTCCAATGGTTTTTATTGATTCTATCACACATGTTCAACCCAAGTTTTGAAGATACCGTTTGGTTCGATCCGGTCTAAAAATTTGCGTAAACCTATGATAATCTAACCTATCATTTATTCGGGTTTTGGTTCAACTGACCGGTTCAAATCTGTTTTGAGAACATCTTTCTTGTTGCTCATTCGATTTCATTTTCGTGTGGTACAAATAATGGAAAGTAGACACTTCCGGTAAATAAATAATGTATTATATTGAGATCTTTGTAAATCATTTAATGAAAATCGGGGTTTAGTTCAGTGATCACTTCCATGGGTTTTGTGTGTTTTTATTTATGATCGGCGTTTGTTATCATGCAGTTGTAATAGATCACGTATAAAATTTTGAACATATTAACCATCGTTGAAACTTTAAAGCACGGTTTGTTATGTTTGACATATCAGAATATGTTGTATGCATTTGATGTGTACTGGGACTAGGACTGGCTAGCTGACCAGGACTAGGACTTATCTCAATAGAAAAATGCAGTTTTTACTACAAGGATGACACCTAATACCGACAACATAAGTCATTGCTACAAATCGTGATATTCCATTGACATGTCGTCTGTATAGGGTTGACTAGAATTCTTTGACCTCAAAGTTACACCGACGACATGGCGTCACAATAGAAAAGACAGGAAACAAGAGTGTTTTGTGCCGTTTTTTGAAAATATATGCCGACAACTTATCGTCTGTGTTACACTGTAATTTGAATGTGTTGAATATTAGTAATCTTTGTTTATTATGAATATATGTTGCAAACTGTCTGGATTGTTAAAATATAGGAATGATAAAACACATAATCTGTAAAAACTAAAAGGAAATTGCCCAGAGGTTGTCCCAACGAGATGTTATCGCTATAGCTTATCTTGAAAAAAAAAATCATTTTTGTTATATCGACGACATATCGTCAATATAGCTTATAGTGGAAAAGCATATTTGCCCTGACGAAATGTTGTCACTATAAGTCACCCATGTCCAGATGACATGTCTTCTGTACATGTGTCACCTATAGCAACGACATTTTGTCGGTATAGGTATTTCATACTCCATCCGTTCCATATTTATTGTTCATTTTTAACTTTTGAAGTCTTTATTCTTCGACTTTGACCTTAAATATTTTTGTTTTTCATATATAATATTTGATGCAAAATATATGAATAAATTGTGTTTTAAATATCTTTTCATTGTTATAAGTTTTATCAAGTAATTTATAACATAAATAAAAATATTTAACCAAAGGGCTTCTAGCCCAGCGGTATCTGTTTTTTTTAACGTCAACGTGGTTCAAGTCCCGTGGTGGACATAGGTGGAATTAGGTGCTAGTTTAGGAGTATTTGTCGGTTCAAAAAAATATATATATATTTAACGTCAACGTTGAAGAATAAAAACTTAAAAAGTCAAAAATGAACAATAAATATGGGACGAAGGTAGTATATCTGTTTTTTTTTCGAAAATCAGTCCCGACGGAGCCTTTGGAGACAACATGTCGTCGGTACAAGTGGCATCTATCCCGACGACTTTTTCTAGTTATAGCGACGAAGCAATACCGACAACTTTAGAGCGGCAAAAAGGTGGAACAATGACTTGCTACCAATCTCTCGTAAGACATAAATGCCCTTATTTTTTAAAACAACCATAGAAAGGTTGCCAAATCTGTTCCAACTTTTCTCGGACAAAAAGATGTAGTTTTTTGCCCATTGACATCTGGTTATAATATGTGTTTATGTCTATGTCTACCCAACACATGATAACATTTTATGTCATGTTGTTTCTTGTGTAACAGATATGTTGATGTATATATTCTCGAAAAACTTACATGAACGATGAATAAGAAATTTGCTTAAACATTTGATGAAATATTAAAAAGAAAACATAGCAGGAGCTAGAACAAGAGCAACCATGGTCAAGTAGGTTTCATATCTTGAAACATCATAGACCAAATAGAAGACATCTCATCGTCTTCACCACCTGAATTCATCATATTACACGGAATCCCAATCCTTGGACTGTTCCCCACATCCATCGGCCCGGAAACACTAAAAACCCTTTTTGGAGTCATACAACTCTCATCTAATCTTCCATCCAAGGGTCCAGATTTCATCATTTTCTTCCCTTTTTCTTCCTTAACCTCCCCAAATCCCATGTTCTTTCTTAAATTACTACTCGGCCACTGTGGTCGAAAAGGATTCATGGGCCTATTAACCGACCGTTTACTTGAAACAAATCTTCCAAGTTTCTTGGAGAGAAGCAATCTTGTCTTCACAATGGCAGACACGATCTTGGAGAAACCGTTCTTGCGACACCCTCCTATGTTGTTCCTTGCAAGATTTATTATTTCTAACCTGTGTTTGGCAACCAAGACTCCCATGCTTTGAAGAAACTCATGGTTGAAATACAACGTGTCTCCTCTTTGAAGCTCATTGTGCGTGAATGTTCTTCCATATTCATAAACTAAATACGGGTCTAAATTTGTTTTTGATAACCATGAATACCAATCCATGGCTACCGTAAATTTGATGCAAAGAGGGTGTCACCTAAATATATAGATACTCCGATAAGAAGAAAAAGTAACTTCACCAGTTGTTTCAAGTCTACTGTTAAATCATCAGAAAGTGCAAATAGTGAGTGAAGAGAGTGTCACCTATATGTATAGGTACTCAGATGAGAAACAAAAATAACTTTACTAGTAGTTTTAAGTCTATTATTAAATTAGTAGAAAGTTCAAATAGTGGGTGAGATGGGGTGGTCCTGCATGCTTTCATTAGTATCTTAATGGAGTTTCTGAATGGTGGTTGAGAAGAGCATAAAAAGTTAGGGGATCACATTGTGTTGTAAAAAGTGTAACGTGTGATAGTGAGGTCTTTAGTTACACACACCCAAAAGTAAGTCATGTCATAGTTGTAGTTGTGAAATTTTCTAGTTACAAGAACTACAAACGAACATCTGATTTAAATTTTCAGTAAAAATTGCTTAAAACCAGTATAAATCGTTTTATCGTATGTATAAGCATACTTTACAAAGTGTATATCTTTTTGTGCAAAATTATAGATTAAACATGTAACTTATAAGGTTCTGTCAATATGATCACAAGACGTGCGACACCAACATTATTGGATCAAGGCATTTTCACTATGATGAAACACCTTAAGTCAGCTAGTTGGATGTTTTTGGGTTCTTGGAAAAGAAAGGTCAATAGAAATTCACTACATGATCTCTCTCTCTCTCTATAGAGCCTAGAGTTATTTGATTTTAACGACTTAACTTCCATTGAATTAAGTACACCTATCAAGGGTACCAACTGGGTTCATTGATGCTCACATGGTCTCTTGAAGTCAAGAACATGCATATCTACTTTTTAAGAAATTAAAGACCTAGTGTGGAAAAAATATATTAAAAGATATTGATGAAAAGGATAACAAACTTCAACAAATGAAATGAACGAAAAAACAAATAAATAAGTGTAAACTTATATATAAGAGAAATTAAATATTCTTTTATATTTTCTTTCTATCTATCCTCTCTCTATATTAAATACTCCTAAGTCCTATCTATATTAAATAGTGACATGTGTATTAGAATATTATTAATTTCATTTAATGTGACATATGTCAACATTTAATCGTGGATGGAAATTAAGTAGCATTAAAATGTAGGAGAATAAACTTTTTTTGAATAACTTAAAAAAAAATTACAAGGAACTTAGAGTTAACATTAGTTTTCGTAACCAAGCAATCCCGTTAACTTTGAGTTTAGAGTTCCGAATGAACCAAAAATAAAATTGAGAAACTATTCTATAAAAAATATAGATATTATTACTGAATGAGTATAAATAATTTTGTTTTCTTAGTATATCCACTAAGATGTTCTTTCGGGATTAAGAAAAAAAAACGCGTATAGGTAGTGTCTCCATTAAAAAGTCGTTCACAACACCAAATTTGGACTTTTAAGTCTATGGGATTTGAGACTAACAGTGTTTATATTTTGATGGACAGTCTAGAACATTAATAATAATAATAATAATAATAATAATAATAATAATAATAATAATATGCTAACGAACAAAACAATGGATTCCCAAATTTCAAAGATGTAGAAATCGAGCATTCGACTTTTCAATGTCTAAAACAATATATTTTTATGGTACCTTGAAAGATGGTTGCTCAATTAGGTGTCGCATGCGTCGTTTTGTGTACGTTTTGTCTACTTCGTGTTAATGTCAATTTTATATAATTCATTGTGTTGTTTTTAAATGGTAGGGGTCGGCCCCGACGTAGTCTTGTTTTAGGCAAAGAATGCTATTTATTTATGGCAAATGGCACAAAAGAAACTAACTTTTCTTTTTT